ATATATATATATATATATATATATATATATATATATATATATATATATATATATATATATATATATATATATATATATATATATATATATATATATATATATATATATATATATATATATATATATATATATATATATATATATATATATATATATATATATATATATATATATATATATATCTATATATATATATATATATATATATATATATATATATATATATATATATATATATATATATATATATATATATATGCTTGAGTAGGGGTATTTTCGTCATATTCTGGAAAAAATGCAATGCGAGGGGGATTTTTGTATTTATGTGTAGTACGGGGGTAAATGATACAAAGTTCATAGCACAGGGGTGTTTTTGTATTTAACCCTTATATTAATTTCGGCATTCGTATTAATATCTTGTTTTTCGCTACACACGCAGATCAAGGATGGCTTTGGTGAAGGAAAGGACCTTGTTGTGAGTGTTATGTCTGCCATGGGAGAGGAGCAGATCTGTGCCCTAAAGGATATTGGCCCGAAATAGATTGTTTTGTCGGTGAGATATTTCGTGGTGGTTTATTTAAACTTTAAATGAGATAGACATGATATTTACAGATTACTAAAGGTTTATGGGAGGATTTTGAGCCATCTTATTTCGGCATTTGTTATCGCTGAATATTGATGGTTCTTGTCCTCGACTCACCTTTATTAGGATGATGTGGATTTCAATTATGTTCTGTTTCTTTTTTCTCGATTGTGCTTTTTACTTCAAACTTTTCTCGTGGGAGGTTTGGATATCGACTTTTGAATTCAAGTGTTGGGTTAGATTCGATTTCCCATCAATTATAGTTGCTTCTTTAATACTTGCGATTTACAATTTTATCGATATATTGACTGGAAAGTTGATCATAACGTGGTTGCGTTTTCCTGCACATGCACAGATGTTTCTTGGAACTCTTGTTGATGAGTTGCCCCATCATGTGTAGTATTTAAATTGCATTAGATCGTACCATTTTGCTTACCTACCGATTTAGTACTCATGAAAATCAAACTTAGCAATTGGTAGTTGACATTAATTGTCGTCCTTTTTTCTAACTATAACAATTAATTTATCGTCTTGTGTTTGGCCAACAATGCCAATATCTGTACATTTGACTTCTACAACATGATTTAAATTTGGACAAAAGACAATTTATAGCTGACCCCCCCACCCCATTACCAAAAATAAATACAACTCTAAAATCTGGTGCATCATTTTTGCCGCACTGAGCATTTAAAACATGTCAACTAGCAAGTCGTCACATCAACTCTTCAAACTCAGTAAAAATTGTCTTATATTATGTAGTATAGTAAATTAATAATACATAATTAAGATAAATTAAATGAAAAATCTGTATAAGGAATCTTAAAACAAGCTTATTAGCTAGTGCCCATCGCGCTCAGTAGTGGCCAAATGGAAATGTATTTCACCTGCTTTAGGAGGTCAATACCGTCATTGGTCGAGTTACTGGGGGTACAATTGTCAATGCATACTGTATAAAATGGACAATTAGCAATTATTAATTATTATATGTTTTGGTCAAATCTACCCATATCTGTTTTCTAATCCAGGTAATAATGAACTAACCACTAGCTAAGTATTCTTGTCCCTACTTCATTGAAACCATCGTTCACTATAATGAAATACATTACTCCAATATTAATTGATGTCACTCTCTTTTGTGTAATTAATGGTTAATAATAAAATTAGTGAACAAGTTGAATTTCTATAAAAAAAAAAATTGGATAATAATGTTGAAATCAATTAAATATTAATTGTGGTATTTGTGAAAATACATCAGATTTCTGTGCGCCGAAAAATAGAAAAAAGACGAACAGAAGCGACGACTTTTCATAAATCAGAAAAGCTCTAATAAAACCCAAAATCGAAAGTCAAATAGTGAGGCTGAATCCAATGGCTGATAACAAGCCTCCTCCGCCACCGCCGACGATCACTCTGCCGCCGAGGACTTCGATTGATAATTTCTTCACGGCCGGCCCGGGGGCGAGTCCGGGCCCCATGAGTTTGGTTTCCAGTTTTTTCGCCGAAAATGAGCCGGAGAACGATTGCCGCTCCTTCTCTCAGCTCCTCGCCGGCGCCATGTCTTCCCCCTCAGCTGCGCCGAACGGTAGGCATGATTTTACTGCGCCGGCGGAGAGTGGGGGAGAAGGTGGTGGGAGTGGGGAGTTTAGGTTTCAGCAGAATAGGCCGGCCGGGTTAGCGGTGTCGCAGCCGCCGGAAATGTTTACGATTCCGCCGGGTCTGAGTCCTGCGTGCTTGCTCGATTCGCCCGGGTTCTTCTCTTCGTTGCAGGTAGTTAATGATGTTTGATCTCGTTGATTTGATTCGTTACTTTTCAATTGATGTGAATCTATGTTTTCATGATTGATTGTTATATATGGTTTTGCAATGCCTATTAATCAATTTGTAGGTTTGTTCATAGGGTTTTGCAAAAAAAAAAATAAAGCATATAGATAGAAATTCGAATTTCAGTTATGTTTGGAAAGAGATCTATTGTAGAGTGTATTCGAGAAAGTTTATTTATGATGATACGATTGCGACATACGTATGTATAACGGACATGCTGCAATGTCAAACTGCCTCATTTCCAACTGTGACACTTGTATGCTACTCTTATTTGGGGATTTGGATTTAATTGTTTTGAAATAGCCAGCATATGTAGATGGCGTTAGAGTCATATTATTATTTCAACTTGAGAACGATACCAAAAACGGGATTCAGTAGGTTATATGAGGAAAGCTAGACTGTCCGAGCTTGCATTTGAGTAAATGAGACAAAAAAGAGATTTGCAATATGGATGTTTAGTCGAATCTAGTTTTATCATTCTATTGTCTTCTTTGATGTGTGTTTAACCTATTTAAGTTTAAACGAGATATTGCTCGATTTTGTGGATATGAATGCTTAGAGTGCACGTTCTTGAAAACATCACAATTCATCGACACATAAATTGACACCTATTTGAGATTTTACTTATTCGCTCTTTATTTTTGCTTGCAATAGGGCTCGTTTGGAATGTCGCATCAACAAATCCTAACACAAATTACTTCTCATGCTCAAGCTCAAGTCCAGAGGCAAATGCAACCTTTGCCATATCCAAACATGAAAGAGTCCTCTGATATTTCTAATCCCGATCAGAAATCTCAACCTCATAACTTGGCTGTGGATAAACCTAGCGAAGATGGGTACAATTGGAGAAAGTATGGGCAGAAGCAAGTGAAGGGCAGTGAATTTCCAAGAAGCTATTATAAATGCACTCATTCGAATTGTCCGGTCAAGAAGAAAGTCGAACGATCTCTCAAAGGTCAAATAACCGAAATCATATACAAAGGCCAACACAACCATCCCCTGCCCAATAAGCGTACAAAAGATAACGGAAATTCAAACAGTGTAAAAGAGCAAGTTACGCATGAACATGTGTCTGAATATTCAAGTGACAGTGAGGAAGTGGGCAATGCTGAAACTAGAAACGAGGATGAGCCCGAATCTAAAAGAAGGTGATCTTTGTTTTTTAATATTATTATTGTGATGCAATAACAAATGATTTTTCGGGATTTTTTTTTTCTAGTGATTTATTACTAATGATGAAATATTACCAGGAATATTGAGGTTGTTCAGAGTTCACAGCAAGGAGGGCCGTCCCGTTCCGCAGTTACCGAGCCTAGAATAATTGTTCAGACAACTAGTGAAGTTGACCTTCTAGATGATGGGTACAGGTGGCGAAAGTACGGTCAGAAGATTGTCAAAGGGAACCCTTACCCAAGGTGATGATGCCTTTTTAATTTCGTATCATTATCAAGATTTTGATAATTCATTTAGTTTCTTATATGAGCGGAAATTTTCGGGTTCAGAATTTTCTGATTTTGGAACAATATTTTTCATTCCGAATCCAAAAATTCCGATTCTGATTTTTCCCTTTTTGTTTGGATTCGAATTGGAATATATATGGAATTCCGATTTCCGATCCAATTTCAATTTCCAAAAATTCTGATTTTCTTTTTTTCCTGGAAAATTGTGCACTTATAGTATTAATAATATAGGTGACTGATAATTGGAACTTTCCGAATTCCGCCGACTCCGATAAAAAAAATTCCCATTTTGGAACGAGTTTTTAATTCCAATTTCCGGAATCTGAATTCCAGAGTTTTCGTTTCTTTTTTTGGAATTAGTTTTTCACTTCCGGAAAAATCGGAATTTATCTGAAGTGCTAATTCCGATCCAATCCGTCGATTTCCACTCCTAGTTTTTTAGCTTAATTTTGAAAAAAAACACTAGAGTGTTATTTCCTTTTTATTTATTTACTAGTTTGATGTGTTTGCAGAAGCTACTACAAATGCACGATGAGTGGGTGCACTGTAAGAAAACACGTTGAAAGGGCAGCAAGTGATGCGAAAGCTGTAATAACAACTTATGAGGGAAAGCATAACCATGATGTACCTGCTGCCAAAACGAGCAGCCATAGTACAGCCAATGCTTCTTCACAATTGAGACATCAAAATAATCCCGTAATTAACAGACCAACGGTAAATAGAGGAACGGAGTTTCAGAACAGAGAGCAACAACAGCCTGTGGCCCTTCTCAGATTCAAAGAAGAACAGATTTCGTAGCATTTACTGTATAACGAGTTCCACTTTACACTCGAACATATAAAAAGATATGCAGAAAACAGGTTATATACGAATGGATTGTGATGGCAAAATATATAAAACCGTTGGTTAAATTTTTTTGTTAATTTAAGTGGTTGTAACTTGTATTTTTTTCTTAAAATTATTTTATATTGGTAAGTAATATTGTATTGCGAGATGCATATGAAAATTGGAGATGGATCTATGGAGTTTAGACATGTCATATGAAAGAATTGAAGATGGATTATTTTTACTTGCGATTTTGAGGTTGCACGGCTCACATTTGTGCTAACTAAATGAAGTTGCGCGGCTCACATTTGTGTTAAGGTAATGTAAAATTTGTCGACGAACGAAAGTAGCAATAATCAAAACATACACTAATCAAATCTTTTGTCAATAGTAACTCTTATATATCGACAGCTTATAAATATTTTCTACATGGGATGAAGTAACGAAGTTTGTGATCAAATGAAATGATTAAGCTATTTTCCTACGAAGAATGCTCGGCATCCCCCATTTTGCTGTCGATCAAGGCTATAAACTTCTCAAAACAAAATAAATAAATTCATCGATATTAAGTTAATCGAGACATCCCACATGATAAGAAACACAAATGAACCAAGATCACCAAACAAATCATTCAGAAACACGTCGAATTGATTTCGTTTCAAGTACATATTTATAAGTTACATTAGTTCACATGTCTTTGACAACTTCACTTTTATACAAAATACACTTCATAACAACAATAAAAACAACAATTAAAAACATGATTAAGCTTTGCTAACCTCATAAGCTAGACAACATAAACAACATGAGGAACTTTCCCATCGTCGAACGGCAATCGAATATACTCACTTTCAAACTCCTCGGCTATCTCAAATGCCAGCTCACCTCGCAAAGCTTTGCAGTACATATACAACACAGCATTCGCAGCGACATTGTACAGCATCAAAATCGTCATGAATCCCGTGTACACCACCGTCTGGAAAACGAAAGCCGAGCTAACCCAACCCTGGTTAAATTCACTCGAATCGGGCATCAAATTCGCACACAAATTACCCAAAAACCCGGTCAACACTCCGAACAAGATAATCATTGAAAAGGCGACGCCTTTCATCCCTTTCAGCAAATAGGAGCTCCTTCTTAGGGCAGATAAACCCCAATTCGATTCGACAACAACAATCACACTCGACAAATACCATTCCACGTGCAGGTAAATCAGCAAACAGATAGTCAAAGCTGCAATCAGGATAACGAAGGTGGTGAAGTACGTGTTGCCGTATTCAATTCGAAACCCTAACAGTGCGAATCCGTTGTACACCAACGCAGTGAAACCCCCAAATACGAAGACAAGCAGCGCCTCGATTAGCTGGGTGATAATTAGGGTTCCGGCGAGGGGGAAGAAGGAGAGGAGGACGGACTTGATTGATGAAGTGAACTTAACGGGGCGGCCGTAGAAGCCGTGGAAGGTGCTGTGGGTGATGGAGGCGGCGGCGCAGAGGGAGAAGAGGAAGACGAAGAGACCGTAGAGAATTGGGAGGAGCGGGAGATCGGGCGTGTGAATCGGCGGCGGGGTGGTGTTGAAGAAAAGAGAGTCGTGGAAGTGAGAGAGAGTTGTGGAGGAGAGAGAGAGAAAAGGGTAGACGATGAGAGAGAAGGAGAGAGGGAGGAGGAAGAGGACTGATAGTGCTAGAAAATGGCGCGAGTGGGCGTTTATGATGCGCTTTGTTTCGGAGAGTACGCCGCAGAGGTTTAGGTTGTTGGATGCCATGGTTGCTTGAGAAGATGAAGTTTCTGTGTGTTTTTTTGTGTGTGAGAGAGAGAGGAGAGAGAGAGAGAAGAGAGAGAAAGTGTTTCGAGAAGACGGTACAAAAAAACAGAGAGGTATGGCTGATTTTCTGTTCAATTAAATACACGCGCTTTCTTCTCACTTTCCTAGGTTCCAGCTTGAGGGGCCAAAACCCCCAACCTTTAGTATTAGTTTATTACTTTTGGATTATTTTTTTGGGTAAATTACAACCATCCCTGATCTGTGGTCAAATTACGAAAAACCCTATCTTGTTTGGGTAATTACAGCCACTCCTTAACTATAAATCTTCTTACACGTTCACTCTTATAGTTTCAAATTTAGTGGAATCTTCGAGGTTATATGAAGTATTATCACTTTTGTACCCGTGTTATTCCATTCGAACTCCACATTTTGAAGTAAGATGATCATAATATGTGTTTTTACTTTTTTGGCTTATATATATCAGATTGTGGTGCATTAGAAACTGTATTTTTACACAAAACAAGTACAAACTAGAGCACATTCCACGAAATCTAGATATGATTGTGTTGATTTTAACACGATAAGAGTGGAGGTTTAAGAAAAAATAATAGTTGAGGGGTAGATGCAATTATCCAAACAAGAGGAATTTTTTTCGTAAATTGACCATACTTCAGGGGTGGTTGTTATTTACCCTTATTTTTAATTTTTTTTATCGAAAGTGAAAAACTAACTCCAATTTAGTAGCCAAAAAAGAAAAAGAAAAATTGATAATCGAAATTTCAGAAATTGGAATGGATGTAAACATGTTTTAAAATCGAAAATTCTCGAACGAAAAAGCTATTACAGCAATGATAATGCAAGTGTTTTTTCTAATAATATTTCGGTTCCATCTCCGAAACCGGTAGCTGGAGCAGCTCTCTTATTCCTTCACACACCTGCATTACCAAAAACGAATTTGTCATCAACAAATACGCACACAATCATGTGTGTTTCGATTTCATTCTTAACGTTTCTTTTCAACTGATTATGGATTCAAATGTGTGATAGAAATACGAAATATTGTGAAAGTAGCAGAAAAAATTACCATCTTAATCTGAGCTTTAATCGATGCAATTAAGCGAGTATACTCCTCAATTTGGCTGCACAGAAAAATATATTATAAAGATTTTATACAATCGAAACAAAGAAGCTTCAAATCGTAAAATACCTGGATAACTTTTCTTCTCTTGCAGCTATAAAGTTAAGTGCTTCAGACCAAGTAAACTCCACGTGAAATCCAAGTCCGACATCTAAGAAGATATGCCGAGTATCTGGTCTGAAAATACACGAGTACATAACACCGTATCTGTAAGAAGTCAAGAGTCTTGGTTTCCAAATATAAAGGACTATATAACACCATATCTGAATGCTTACACATCAGCTTGCATATAGATTTCGGAACCAAGGTTCACCATGGTTCTCATACTGGTTACACTGTTCTTCTCCAAATTCTCGATGTTTCTTCTCAGATCAGAGCTACAACAATTCAAGTTAAGAAAAAGCAAAAAAAAAAAAAAAAAAAAAAAAAAAAGGAATATTGGAAAAAATGTCGTGCATACAAATTATACACCGTTTGGGCTAATAATGCTGATACATTTGATTAATCTAATAATATGTTGGATGCCCCATTAACGTGTGATAAATTGAAGAAATACAAAAGGATACAAAACCTTTTGCTGCTCAAAAACCTTGTCCCTGCAAAATAACCGGAGACGAAATTAAATCTTTGAACATTCTTTAGGGACAAAATTCATTAAAAATGCAATCTTTGCTTTTTGCAGCAGTACACAATTTGGGGCTCCTTCAATTCATAATATTGAGACACTAACATTAAATTCATTGAAGATAAAGCAGAAGCAAGGTAATAATCTGAAATTGTAGTTGTAATAAACAAATGCAAATGCAAAAGATTCAAGCAAGTAGGGTTTTGGTTGTGTCATTTGTGTTTATGTGTGTGGTGGTCGTGGGGGGTGGGGTGGGGTGGGTTGGGGGGGGGGGGGGGGGATTACCTTTGAGCAATAGCATGTACAAGATCAGGTTTCAAGCGGCGGTCGACGAATTCCTCGTACTTTCTAACTTTGTCTTGTTCCATTTCAGTCCTAAAACACGATCGAACTGAGTTTATCAAGCTAGAACCACAATTAATGGAAGTTTGGTTCAATAATTAATTCGTCTGATTATAAAGTTAAGTTAACCCTTATCCCCTTAAAATCGCAAAAATTGTAACGGAATAAAAACTCTCACCGCCAAAGTTAAGCCGGAAAAAAACTCCGTCACCGTCGCCGCCGCCGGTCCCGCTGGAAACTAGACTCTGAGGTGTTGAAAGAAAGCTTCAAATTGGGGATTTGAAGGAACGACGTTTGTATACCTTTTTATTTATTTAAATAATAAATAATGAACGGGTCTGTTAACGGATCGGTTTGGATCCGGATCCAATTACCGACCCGAATTCTGAAGTAAAAGCGGGAAGCCCAAAAAATCTGAAAATTAGGGTTTTGGATTTTAAACCATCTCTACATTAGGTTGCGCCATAATTTCAGTTCATTTTCTCGCGCAATTCTTCAAATTCGTTTCAATTTTTTTAGTTTTAAGCTGTAATTAACATATCATTTCAGTTAAGGAACAATTATTTTGGGGGAAAAGAAGAATCTTTCAGTAATTGAACTGAGAAATTTGCTCGTATTCTTCCATTGAAAAAGCTCCGAAAATGGCTTGGTGGGAAGGCGCCAAAGAAACCCGCGTTCTCATAGCACAAGGTAAATCTTATTATTACCCCGCAGGAATTTTCTCTTATGTTGCATACACAAAATCGGATTTTCCCCTTTTCACCCAATCGTGCTTCATAATTTATTCAATTTCGTGTTTGATTTAGTTTAAATCGTGTTTGTGCAGATCCTTGTACTGGTGGGAATCATCATGCTGGTCAATTTTTATCACTCCAGCATCCCAAAACAGGTATAACAAAAAAATCCCGAAGAAATCGGAGTAATGATCGAAAAATTTACTGTAGTAATCCAAATTGAAAATTCAACAACTTTTGAGATGCGTTTTGTTTCGTTTACCAGGGAATACGACAAGCTACCTCTATAGCAATGGAGTTCTTCTAGAACTTCAATGGTTTAAGCAGTGTTTCGGGTCCTGGTTCCTTGGCGATTATGTTTGTGAAGGTAAAAACAATCGACAAACTTAACCGTAAAACGGCAATATATAGTATATACATCTATTTAAGACGCTCGTTGCAGATATTGATTTGGTGAAGTTCTTACACAAGTCTTTATTGGTTTGCCCTTTTTAGATGGTCGTTTATATACCGCCACTCCAATCGATCCTGTTTTCATTCTGTTGCCAGTCTTTGATGAAGCTCGAATGAAGGTTTGCCGTATTTTTCTCTGTACGAGCCTTGTTTATATTTGGAAATATAGTAACTGGATACGGGTCTCGTTTTTTTTTTGTTTGTAATGCATGCAGAAAGGAAACGAACCAGGGAAGTTTAGACAGCTGGATGAGATCATTTACGTTGATGGATATCCCGGGTATCAAACGCTGTCACAAATTTCAGACAAGACTATGGAAGTTGTTTGCGATATTACAGGTAATCACACTAGCTATTTTCTTATCGAGGGTATGTTAAAACCCGATGTATTTCGGTGCATAACAATTTGTTTCTCTTTGAATAGAAATCGGGTCGACCAAGTTTTTCAGGCTCAATGACGAGAAGGTACTGAAATGGTTGTGCTATAAGGTTAGTTTTGATGTCGTTTTTTTACCATTTCGTTTATCTGCTTAGTAAAGCTGTAGTTGTTTAGTAATTAGAGACCAAATAAAATAACGAAATTTATTCTCGGTTTGATGTTTTAATTTATGATTTTTTTGCAGGTAAACCAATTGAAGCGTATACTACCGACATTGGATAACAACTTTGCTGCTCAGGACGAAAAAAATCAATGTATGGTGTCGTTGAAATAAAGAAAAGAAAAAGAAAAATCACCCTTTTTTTTGTTTTGAATATTTTGTTTAATCTCGTTTGTGGCACAGTATTCGATGCAGTATCAATAATTCGAGAGTACTTGAAGGATGAGCCTTGGGTGAATCTCTTGTGCAACAAATTAAAGTACTGTAATAATTTTTCAGCAAATTAACATATCAGTTATTACATCCTCTGTTCTTGTAAGTAATTTTTGATGCTCTTATTTGCAGATTAAACTTGCAAGACTGGACTAATGCACAAGAAATCGAAAAACTTGCACCTTCCACAGGAAATGGTCCCGCGTCGTTTAATCCCGTTCAGGTATATAATCGAAAAACTTACATTTCTGTCTTTTTTTTTTTCGATTCTGTTGCTCGTTTTAAGTTTAAGTGATGTTTCGGTCAGGAGAATAATGCGATGAACAAGAAAGTTGCTCCAACGACACGGCAAGCTAAGAAGGTCAAAATGGAGAAAGATTCACATAATATAAAGGATATGTTCAGCAGGGCTACTAGAAAGAGAGGGTAAAAAGGTCTTTTTTGTCATGAATTTATAATCTTGTCTTTTTTGCTGTTAATTGTATCATCTAAGTGAAAATTCAGTTAAAATTTATCATATGCAAAATTCTATGATATATACATATAAATATATATTGGTATTGATGCATATTTGATCTATTCTCTCCATGTGGGACTTGTATACTGTCGATAATCGGGATGAAAATTGGAACAAAATTTTCAAATTTCTGAAAACCCGCCCCATATATATACCCCATATATATAGTATTTTTTTTTTTTTTTAGTTTCATGTTTTTATTTAAGCTCCAAAAAAATGAAAATACATAATTATTTCACCAATTTTCATTAAGAATATAATTCGACTTTACAAATTTATGCTTTAAGCCCGAGCTGGGCCTAATTAAATCTGAATCTTATGACCTGACCTGGGCTTTTAGATTTTGGAGAGAGAGTAGTCCAAGCAAGCCCATTACCAAAGATAAATTAACAAAATATATGTTATTAATAGATTATTTGCAAGTAAATTATTAAACTAAAAAGTACTTTCTTATAAATAATCGATAATTATTTATTATTTATTTATCAACAAACTGTGATAAATTACAGTTCAATATTTTCTCTTCGACTATTTCAAAATTCCTATACAAAAAACACTATTTCAAATTGAAAATTTGTTCCATTGTTGCTTCACGGATTAATTAATTAATTTAATTAAACCAAGTAATAAAATAATAAGTTCAAGAAAATAAATAAATAAACTCGGGGTAAAATGACGTCAGCGTGAAAATACAATTATCTGCAGTCTGATAATCGTCTTGCTTCGTTATTTTCCAGCTCTCGCCCCTTTACCCCCATTTCTGGTGAAAATTCTTCGACGTTTTTTTCTCGTATGGTAATAAAATCGTATGGCTTATCTGTAATTCGTTGCTTGCAAGTGTTCCCGCCTTCTTGCTGCTTTATTTAATTCGCATTTTTTTCTTCGTAATTCAGTATATTATTTCCTCAATTTTGACTCTGCATTTAGAGTTCTGCTTCATATTTTGTGTTAATTCTATCAATGCAATCTGTTTAGTGGTTACTTTTTCGATTTTTTCCCATCAATTATGGCTTCAATTTCCCCCAATTTCTCATCTGTAACCAGCCCTATCTGCACACACGCCCAAAAAAGTTTAATTGCATTTCACAACCCATTTTGGAGAAACCCCTTCTTCCGTAAATACCCAAATTTTAGGTTTAGCAGCAAATCCAATCGTTGCAAAATGTTGGTTTTTAGTTGCTTAAATGAGGGTGTGGGTAGTGGTGCAAATGCTGTAATAGATGCAGAAAACCGGAAATCGAATCGGGTTAGGACAGTTTTCGATTTGTCTGAGGAACAGAAACAAGCTATATCTCAGCTTCCGTCGAAGATGACAAATCGGTGTAAGCTTTTGATGAAAGAAATAATTTGCTTTTCGCCTGAAAATGGGAGTGTGCCTCTTATGTTGGCTGCTTGGGTGAAGAGCACGAATCCTCGAAGAACTGATTGGCTTTCGGTTTTCAAAGAATTGGAGGCTTTGAATCATCCTTTGTATTTCGAGGTTCGTTATTTCATTTTGATTTATAGAATATTGATTATGATTAAGATAGTGATTTATTGCACAATTAGTGTTTATAATTCTTGGTTTCTTCTCTTTTAGTTATGAGTTGGGGTGGAAATTGGAACTGAAATTCCAAATTCCGTTGATTGCGATCTGAAAATTTCCTATTTTGGAACAATAATTTTCATTCCGAATTCCGAATTTTTTTTTTTGGAACAAAAATTCCGAATTCTGCTGATTGTAATCCGATTTTTTTTTTCGATTTTGGAACAATGTTTATATTTTTGAATTCCAAAAGTTCCAATTTCTGATTTTTTTTTGGAACATAATCGGAATACATATTCGATTCTGATTTTCCATTCCGATATTTTTTTCCGAAAATTCTGATTTTTCGAAAGTTACACTTATAATATCAATATTATTATGTATTTTGTACTTTACGTGACAATTTTTTTTTCGAATTTCCAAATCCCGCCGATTTTCTGATCCGAAAAATTTCAACTTTGAAACAAGTTTGTTCCATTCCAATTTCCAAAATGCCGATTTCCGATTTGAAGTTTAATAAAAACAAAACGAACTTTCTTATTTTTCATTATAAATTATCAGGTGGCCGAACACGCATTTGCAGAAGAATCATTCGAAGCCAATATCCGCGACTATACAAACATAATCCACGGTTACGCAAAACAGAACAGGTTGCAAGAAGCAGAGCAAACCCTCACAGCCATGAAAAACAGAGGATTACTCTGCGATCAAGTAATTCTCACCGCACTAATCCACATGTACAGCAAATCGGGCAACCTCAAACAGGCCCAATATTCGTTCGAAGAGATGAAGATGCTCGGTGTACAGCTGGACAGAAGATCCTACGGCTCGATAATCATGGCCCACATAAGAGCCGAAAAATTATCCTCTGCTGAAACTTTACTCCAAGAAATGGAAGCTCAAGAAATCTACGCAGGCAGAGAAGTTTACAAGGCACTACTAAGAGCTTATTCGATGAAGGGAGATTTCAGTGGGGCCCAGAGAATCTTTGATGCAATACAGGTGGCGGGCATTACGCCGGATGCTAGGGTTTGCGGGCTTTTGATAAATGCTTATGTGGTTTCGGGCCGGGCCCAAGAAGCTTGTGTGGCGTTTGGTAATATGAGGAGATCGGGAATTGAGGTGAATGATAAGTGCGTGGCGTTGGTTTTGGCTGCGTTTGAAATGGAGGATAAATTGAAGGACGCTTTGGATTTGTTGATTGAGTTGGAAGGGGAAGGGATTATGGTTGGTAAAGAAGGTTCCGATTTGCTTGTGAAATGGTTTCAAAAGTTGGGTGTTGTCGAAGAAGTGGCGATTGTTTTGAGGGAGCTCGGTTTAAAGATGGCACAACCTGTTCTTTAGTTTCTTCTTCTTCGGTTTTTTTTTTTCTTTCATGTGGTGCATTCGGTGAAGTTCGTCGGGGATTTGGTACTATTTGATTGTATGTGTGTGTGTGTTTTCATACACATTCATATGTGAGTGATTATGCGTAAATCTATGGTGAGATGTTACTCGATGTAATTCATTCGGTGTAATTTTTGGGAGATGTTGATATCATAGATGAAATTGGATCATTGTAGAATGAAATTCGAAGTTACTGCCGCTGTCAGTACTAAAACCGTTGAGCCAGACACTAATAATTATCTTTCATTTAATTCAGAGTGATCAATGACAAAATAAAAGTGATTAATCTGTGATAGACCGACTCATGATTAATCGGTGCGGCGGTAATTAATCGGTGATAAATCAGAAATAAATCGGTTTTTAAAATTTAATATAATATATTTGCAGATATTATTTATAAATACTCAAGACATAGATAAGAAATATTTAAATATAGTTATATCTCCATCATGTATATATTCTAATAACATAATAAAAGTTTAATAATAATAAGATCATAATACATAAATATCCTTATAAAATCTAAATAAAAAGGGATTTTTTTTTGAATTTACATACATTCTTGGCATACATCATTAGTTCTTTAACAATAATAATTAACATAAACAAAATAAAGTATAAACTCATTTTTTTAAATTAAAATCCCAACTTTTATTTTGATTTATATATAAAAAAAATAAAAAATAAAAAACCGATTTTTGACCGATTTTTTGCCGATTTTTACCACCGAAGTTTGACCCGCCTTAAAGGTTTGACCGCTTCGAACCGCCTCAAACAGCCTCACAGGCAAAAAACCGATTTTTCAAACCTTTACACTAAAATCGTAATGGTTTTGGACCGCCCCCGCCTCGGCGACAGATTAATCGGCCGTCTCGGCCGATTTTTAGAACACTACTCTAAACTAGCAAATAATTAGGAATAAATATATTTGAAATTACTAAAATACCCTTGTAACAAAATAAACTACCTAAAAGAAGAAAATCACCATTTTACCAAATCGGATCCGGATACCGATCGAATTCCATTGAATGAGCGGAAGCGAGGGGAGCTCGGGGCATTCCGGCGGCGGAGACGCGCACCCTCCGCCCCCGTTGGCGGCGACCGAGAGAGAAAAGAAGAAGGAGAAGGCGCGTGTGAGCCGGACTTCCTTAATCCTGTGGCACGCGCATCAAAACGACACCGTCGCGGTGAGAAAGCTCCTGGAGGAGGACCCTACGCTGGTCAACGCTAGAGACTACGACGATCGGACCTCGCTCCACGTTGCCGCAATCCACGGCTGGATCGACGTCGCCAGGTGTCTTCTCGAGTACGAAGCCGATGTCAACGCTCAAGATCGCTGGAAAAACACTGTAAATTCTAATCATCTAATTACACTTTGGATTTCTGATTCGATTGCTGCTCGCTCTTGTATCTGAACTTTGTATTGTGAGCAGCCTTTAGCTGATGCAGAAGGAGCAAAAAGATCTGCCATGATTGAATTATTAAAAAAGGCCGGTGGATTATCTTATGTAAGTGCCCATTCTTTTCAATTGCATTGTTCCTCCATTTTTGGAGTTCATTAATTTGCTTGATGGGGTTTAATTGAGGGATATAATTATTTTCTATTAACCATTTCCTTTTCCTTCCGCTTATGTTAAACTCATTCTGTAATTTCTTCGTTTGAATAAGTGTTATTGGGCATATCGCAGGGCCAAAACGGAAGTCATTTTGAACCAAAACCTGTGCCACCCCCTCTGCCAAATAAGTGTGACTGGGAGATTGACCCTAATGAGCTGGACTTCTCGAACTCGACACTCGTAGGGAAGGTCCGTATCTATCCTCAAATTATTATTGATAAAATTCTGCCTAATCAATGAAGATATTATAGACTAGTCGATAGTCACTTATTAGTTTCTTGGAGAAAATAATGTTTGCATTGACTTATTTAATGATTTTGTAAAAGACAATTGTGTTACCATGCATGAAATTTCCTTGGCTCATTCTTGCTGACGACAGTTGGTATTTATAGGGGTCTTTTGGGGAGATTGTAAAAGCTGGTTGGAGGGGAACACCAGTAGCTGTCAAGCGCATTCTTCCAAGCCTTTCAGATGACAGATTAGTAATGTATGATTTTTTACTGTGTTCTCGCAATTTCTAATTTTTTTTTTCCATGTTCATCACGTGCTATCATGCAAAATGCAACTTGTATTGCATGCCTGATTGTGGATTGCACTAAAACCTGTAAGATCTTGGACTGGTATAAAAGTCGCTTTTTGGCGTTCCGTAATGTCTATGTTAAACTCGGTTTTAATCTTCGGATATGAGTGAAAGGGCCGAATAAATTTATCATTGTATCTATTAGCTATTTACTTCTGCCTTTTCACTCATATCTTAAGGTAAATTTACCTTATCTCTTGCTCGTAATTCAGTCAGGACTTTAGGCACGAGGTCAATTTGCTAGTGAAGCTTCGCCATCCAAATATTGTCCAATTTCTAGGAGCTGTTACTGAAAAGAAGCCCTTGATGTTAATTACAGAATATTTGAGAGGGGTGAGTGAACTGTTTTACATTTATCTGGATGTATTAATTTGACTACACAATGTCCTAACTTTTGATTTTCCTTTAAATTCTGTTACAGGGTGATCTGCATCAACATCTAAAAGGAAAAGGAGCGTTGAATCCATCTACTGCGGTCAATTTTGCAATGGATATAGCCAGGTAATTGATTTTCTTTTTCTCGATAAGATAATTTTACATTTCAAGAGTAAAACGCTCAATATACTTGGTCCATCGGGCATTACTCTAATAGTTTATCAGCCTTATGTCAAGCAATACTATACTGAGATGCTTATAACAGAATTAGGATTGATTATGTATAATTGCAAATTACGTTGTTTTATTCAGCATTATGTAACGCGTCCTATGCTAGTCTGATTGTTGTAATCTTGTTTGGACAGAGGCATGGCTTATCTTCACAGTGAGCCAAATGTTATAGTACACAGAGATCTTAAACCAAGGTAATAATGTCTACACTATGTGTTGATTGTTCGCTCGATAAACCAACTCTCCTTCCTAAATTCGGTAATTTTTCAGGAATGTTCTACTTGTCAACACAAGTGCCGACCATTTAAAAGTAGGGGATTTTGGGTTAAGCAAGCTCATCAGGGTACAGCATTCTCATGACGTGTACAAGATGACTGGCGAGACTGGAAGCTGTGAGTAACTGTTGTAAGAAACTAAGAACAGTCTGTTGTCCAGCTGTGGCAGTACATAATTATTAATACTTTGCTATCTTTTGTTTTTTTAATGTGTCAATAGATCGTTACATGGCCCCTGAAGTATTCAAGCACCGGAAGTACGACAAGAAGGTCGATGTTTTTTCTTTTGCAATGATATTGTACGAGGTAAATTTTATTTTTTTTGCAAAAACCACCTATATTAAACTGAAATTTTTGGATGAAGCATAAGTTAAAGTGACTGTTAACTGTTGCAGATGCTTGAAGGTGAGGCTCCATTGTCAAATTATGAAGCGTATGAAGCAGCCAGATATGTGTCCGAAGGACATAGGCCAATATTTAGGGCAAAAAGTTTTACTCCCGAATTGAAGGAGTAAGTACCTATGGAATCCTTTTTACCATGTCATATAGAAATAGAGAATTGAGATGGTTCAAATTCGTAATTTTCTTTTTCTGCAAAAACCTTAAACAGCATTTTAGCCACGCGTTCAATATAGCAATTACGAGAGTCAACATAAGTAAGCATTTGTTGAACTTAAAAAAATGTGCAGGTTAACTGCGCAGTGCTGGTCGGCAAAAATGAACGACAGACCTTCTTTCTTGGAGATTCTGAAGACACTTGAAAAAATCAAGGAAAGTTTACCGTCTGATCATCACTGGCACATCTTTACATCCTAGGTTAATCGGACCGATTCCTCTGTGCAATCCCAGTTTCAATTCTCGGAAAGCGATTGATTATGCAGTTAAAAATTCCATTTGTTAGACGAAATAGTCTAAACGTGTTGTGAGTGGCAGTGTTGCATTGATTTTTTATTTATTTTTCCTTGTAATATTATGCAGCGCAAGCTTTGCAAACCTCGGCTAATCTTGCACAGGCTATTGTTACCATGGCTTTGTAAACCTGTATCTAGAATTTTCACATTTGGTTTTCTTGTTTTTTGTATGATAACTAGGTGTGAAGATATGTTTGTTGAACTGCACATTCGTTTTACTCGTTATTCGTCGCTAGCTATTACATTATGTTTGCAGCATATTCCCGTACAAACCGTTTGTATAGAATAATTTCAACTAAAGATTATAAATCCATAAAAACAAACAAAATCAAAACTTCTTGTCGAATCTAAATCATTCGACCCCAAGTTATCGTTTAAATCGTTTCTCGGTAGTTGTATTAAATCAAGATTCAAGACTGTAGTTCCCGAGGTTGAACATTGTTTGTTCATCATTAGTGAAAATTAAAAACTATAAAATTAAATAAGCTTCTTCTTTTGAAAGAATGATTTCAAATGCCAAAACTGCAGCCCAGCCACAGACATGGATATGAATAGAGACAGAAAACTCAGTAATGTCATTTTCGAGTTTGTCGACTTATTCAGGTTCTGCATTTCATGCTCCCTGCGTCAACAAATACAGAACAATTCCAAATTATCCAAATTAATTTGTGTGATCATTCAATTACAACCAAAAAAAAAAAAAACGCTTACCTTGAGCGTAGATAAAATATCTCCTCGTGAATGGATTGGACCGCGTCTACCATCTTCTTCAATTCGATTTCCATTAGCTGGTAGTTACAAGAACAACAAAGATCAATATTTGTAACAAAAATAAAAAAACATGAATGTTATGTGGTGCAATGAGGGAGAAAGAGGAATGAATAATCACATACATGAACAGAATCTTTCTTGGCAACATTGGACCAATCCTTGGCTGCCACGCCGGACTTCCAGACAAAGTCAACGGTCATGGTAGTAGAAGGTTTGGTAGCAGTAGCAAAAAAGCAGGCCATGTAATCACCTGCTTCCACTGCTTGAAATCCAAAATGCCCCTCTTTCACATTGTCTGCAGAGTGATAGTTATTACCATATGCTGACGTCACCTGTACAAGTTTTAACCCAAAAAAAAAAAAAAAAAACAATTCATCATTGCAAAAGATCCAAACTTTCCAGCACAAAATTAAACCCTTTTGCCCGAATAAAAATATACAGCACACAAACTAATTTGACCCGGAATAGAATATCAAATCACACAATCAAATAAAAATAATATTAAATCATGGAAAAGAATAATACCCGGACAGTGACTTGATGCGAATCGGGTAAAGGGTGTCCTTCGTTATGATTAACGATTTTGTAATTACCGACTGTCATTGAATTGGTGTTGATATCCTCCGATATGCATTTGGTGTGACCCGATTCCAGATCGAAACGGATGGATTCGACCCGTTTCCATAACATCATAATTGAAACGACAACCACCAAAAAAAAACTCCCTCTTTGTAATTGGGTATTCATAGCAACAATCCGAAAAGTAGAATTTCTTTTTTGTGATTGAGAATTCAGAATTCAGAACTCAGAATTGAGAATTGAAAAACCCCAATTTTGTGATTTTGACCTCTGTTTCTTTTCATTAATTGGGGTGTAATTGTTGTCAAAAATATTTGTACATCCAATAAGGTTATTACACGTGTAATACTCTCAATATTTAGCTTAATCAAAATTGTCTTGCCATTATTTATTTATTGATTTCCTTCCTAGTTAATTGGTTTTGATTTTTGAATAGTGTAGATTGATTTGGTTATTGACTAATTACTTTTCTTTAATAATTTTTTTTTTATATCTCAAAAAAAAAAAAAAAATTATCGCTGGTATGATGATGCAGGCGTGATGTCAGCATCCGGGGTTTCTCTTACGTCAACATTCATTTTATCTCTCTATCACCCATGTGAGAGAGAGAGATAGAGAGATAAAATGAAGGGTGGTGATATACGCAGGCCAAATTAAACATTCAGGCACTTTTTTACCATGGTTTTTTACCTTTTTACCATAACTATTTACCTTTTGTACTATTCCTACCAAATCCTATAAAAAAAGAAAACTCAACATTCAAAGTGAAAAATTTCAGATATTCAATAATTTTTGCGATGGATCCAAACAACTTAGACCCGAATGTAAGTTTTTCGTTTTTTTCCTCGAAAATTCATCTACTCGTGGAATTACGGA